CGGTGGGAGCGCCACCATGCTCCCAAGCGGCGCACTCTCCAGTGCGCCACCGGGCCGGCCCAGCACAGGAGATTTTCTGAGTTGAGTGACCCCCTGCTGTTCTGTAGTGATGTCCTTGGCCCTGGGCACGTTCCTAACCANTATCTATCTATCTGCACATACTTCATGGAGGAAGGGCCCATGAAAACAAAGGTGCCTATGGCCCAGGAAAGTCAAGATGCAGTCCTGTACTATCCTTACCCTGGAGGGGTCCCAGAATGGGACTTGACCCTGGCAATAGCTGACTCTACCCAGACTCTGTGGTGTGAAGTGCATCTGCCCCTTTGCCAGCTGGTGAAGGAGGATGAAGGGGTAGAGAAAACTGGTATTTGTGGAACCCTAGTCTGAGCCAGACATCATGGGCTTCACTACACCCCACCTACAGTGTGGCACTCAAGGCCTTGCAGAGGCCAGTTGGCTTCCCAGGTCCCTGAGGGCACCAAGCACAGAGCTGGTGCAAAACCTCTCACTCCAAAGGCCAGGCAGATCCACAACCCCTCTCCAGGCCATCAAAGTGGCCCCTGTCTCCACGTTTGTGGGGTGCAGAAGGAACCTCACTGAGATCCAAAAGAAGCCAGGAAGTGGATCCGTGAAAAGCTCAGCCTTTGGACAGACCACCAAGAGCTGGGTTTGCTCTCGGTTCTACTGCAGAATTACACTCATGACTTCTGGAAAGTCACCTCCTCTCTGTGCAAAATGGCAGTAATGGCAACACCTGCCTCAGGGGGCTGTTGTGGGGACAGATGAGTCGATTTGTGCAAAGAAGCATTTCTACATCCTCCTTCCGCTCTCTGCTCACAGGTCACCCCCCTGGGAGACCTTCCCTGACCCCTGTCTGAAGCTGTCCCCTGGGCGGCCTCGCTGCCCCGTCACAACTCCCTGTTTATTTCCCTCAGGGTGCTTTCCAAGCTCTGCAATGTTTTGCTTATTTATTAACTTTACTTGGTTGTCGTCACTCTCACTGATTACCCTGCGGGCTCCCTGAGGGCAGGGCACACCTCTTTCTGTTCACGTCTATCTCCTCAGTGCCTGAACAGAGCAAGCCCTCTGCTGTGTTTCCTTCCTCTTTCCCGTTCCAATCACACCAATCTCTTTGAGGCTCTTCAAACACACCGAGCACATTCCCACCTCAGGGCCCTCGCATTGGCAGTTCCTTTTACCTGGAACACTCATCCACCGCATTCTAACACGATGCCCTCCCTCACCGCCTTTGGGTCTCGGGACCTCCCTGACCACCTTATGTACAATAATAACCCCTCCTCACGTGCACTCCCATCTCCCTCCCCTGTTTTCCTTTCTTCTGTTGCATTGGTCACCATCAAATATCCCGTACTTGCTCACTGGCCATCTTACTCCGCATAGGGTGGGGGCTGGGCTGGTCACCTTTGCAGAGAGGCAGCACCTGGAACAGCGCTGGCATGATGAGGGGTGCAATGAATGCTTGATTCAAAACAGATGAGTATGTGGACGCTCAGTGATCCAGAATCGGATGAGATGCAGTTCTCAAATGGGATGTTTTCTGGAACTGGATATCCACATGCAGAAGATTGAAATTAGATCCCTGTCTTGCTATATACAAAAATCAACTTGAGATGGATTACAGACTTAAATTTAAGATCTGAAACTATGAAACATAGTTTCATAGAAGAAAACATGGGGGAAATGCTACCCGAAATGGGACTGGGCAGTGCTTTTTTGGACAAAGGCACAGGAAACTAAAGTAAAAATTGACAAATGGGACTATATCAAACTAAAAAGCTTCTGCACAACAAGGGACACTATCAACAAAGTAAAGAGACAACCTACAGAATGGGAGAAAGTGTTTGCAACTACACATCAGACAAGGGTCAAATATCCAGATGTATAAAGAACTCAAACAACTCAGCAGCAAAAACCAAACAACCCAATTAAAAAACGGGCAAAGGAACTAAACAAACATTTCTCAAAGGAAGATTCCAGATGGCCAACAGGCACATGAAAAAATGCTCAACTTCACTAATCATCAGGGAAATGCAGATTAAAACCACAATGAGATATCATCTCACCCCAGTTAGAATGGCTATTATCAACAAGACAGAAAATAACAAATTCTGGCAAAGATGCAGAGAGAAAGGAACTCTCCTACATTGTTGGTTGGAATGTAATTTGGTACAGCCATTGTGGAAAATGGAATGGAAGTTCCTCAGAGAACTAAAAATATTACTACCTTATGACCCAGCTATCTCACTACTAGGTATATTTCCCAAGTAAATGAAATCAATATATTGAAAAGTCACCTCCTCTCCCATGTTCATTGCAACACTATTTGCAATAGACAGGAGATGGAATTAACCTAAATGCCCATCAATGGATGAATGAACTAAAACAACAACAACATCAAAAAACCACTGTGGTTTATATTCATAATGGAATACTATTCAGCTATAAAAAAAATGAAATGCTATCCTTTTCAGCAGCATTTCCAGGAACTGGAAAACATTATGTTAAGTGAAGTAAGCCAGGCATAGAAAGACAAATACTGCATGATCTCACTTATACGTGGAATCTAAAAAAAAAAAAATAATAATAATAAATTAATTAATTAAATAAAGTGGTTCTCATAGAAGTAGAGAGTAGAATGAGTAATGGTTACCAGGCCATGTGGGGAAGGGATCAGCGGGAGGAGAAGAGGTGGACTAATGGGTACAAAACTATGCTATCTATCCTAAGAGAATAATTGTGCAGCATATTCATGTATTAAAGCAACACACTGTTCCCACAAATATGTACAAGTGAATGTTAAAAAATATTTTTAAAATGTAATCTTTTCTGGATCCTGACTTTTAGGCAAAAGAGCCAGAAAGTAGTTTTGGAAACAAAAGGCATCTTGTAGGGTGTGACTGGAGCAGAAGAGATTCAGCTGGATTTGTGGCCTTCTCTCCTTTTTCTGTGAGCCTGATGGTGCTCATCCAAAACACACGAACAGGATGCTGTAAGGCTCTCAGATCCCAGGGGAAAGGCTCTATCACATCCTTTGTCCTGAACTGGCTGAGACAGACACATTAACTCAGATATTTTGGAAGAATAAAAAAAGTTCCTTTCCTCTAGGGCTTTCTGATTAGCTCTGAGTTAATGAGAACATTCAATCAAGCAGAACACTTGGGCATTCTGGCTTACCAGCGCTCGCTATTTATGACATGACTTCTTACCCTCACCTAAGGTGCATTTGCTGAGTGTCCCCACATGGGCCGGGGGGCCCAGCAGGGGGCTGGGATCAACTCTCACAGAGCCCAGGCCCAGTAGACAGTTGGGGTACAGGCATTCACAACCACAGGGAGTGACCTGTGGGGAATAAGGGGGCCCTGTCTTGGGATTCAGCCTCCTGGGGAAGATGATGAAGGCTGAAGTCATGGAAGAAATCTGCTGGATGAGGCTCCATCTTCCAGAAGCTTCCACGGGGCTCCTGAAAGCAAAAGGCTTCCTGTGAGATGCTTTATGAACAAAATTGTGGTGTGAAAACAACTCTGGGAAGTGGGAACGAATGAGAGGGATGAGTAAGTCTGGAACCTAGGAGTTGTTTTCCAGGACGGTTCCCGAGA